ACTTTACAACACCATTACAACACCATTTCAATTATGTCATTAAAACATTACATTACATTACATTACATCACATCACATTACATTTCAATAGGGCATTAAACATTACATTACATTATATTACAACATTTCAATGGTGCCATTAAAACTACAATAGAGTCGATGAAACCATAATCCATTTTTGTAGCTTTGCATTTATGTAAAAATACTAACCAAAGAATGAATCAAAACCCCGATTATTAGGCAGACATTCTTCTTTGTAGAAGCCAAGGTGCCATTTCCCGACGGCATGGGTAGTATACTGTTTTAATTTGAGTTCTTGTGCAATCGTGATTTCCGTAGTGGGTAAGCATCTTCTTTCACTATCCATTATTACGCCATCTTGCAGCCCCAGATGTATCTGAAAATCATGCAAATACCAACATGTAATAGTAACTAATCATTAACTTTAATAAACATTTAACTGTGTCAACTGTTGTCAACTTTCACGAAATAAAGCAAACAACAAGCTTCCCTGGTGTTTACTAATATTTTGATCAAGATCTGTAACAATAGGGAATTAGGGTCATTTCACCACAAATTATCCGAAAATAAACTAACATCATACATGAGCTGCGTTTTCATCCAGGAAACAGGACAAGACAAACATCATTAAAGTATTTCTTTGACAATCTTCATAGTAATGTTATCAATGAAGTGCATACAATTGCAGCATAAACACTATAAAATTACTTACTGGTCCAACGAAGGAAATATATTTTTTTTTCTACCTGTACAAAACTGTTATGCAGCTTAAAGTTTGTTTGGTATTAACGGTTGTTATTCAATCAGTAAATGCTGCCATTCGGTCAGTAAAGGCTGTCATTCGGTCAGTAAAGGCTGCCATTCAGTCAGTAAAGGCTGTCATTCGGTCAATAAAGTCTGATATTCCGGCAGTAAAGGCTGTCATTCAGTCAGTAAAGACTGTCATTCGGTCAATAAAGTCTGATATTCCTGCAGCAAAGGCTGTCATTCAGTCAGTAATAGCTATCTATCATTCGGTCGGTAAAGGCTGTCATTCTGTCAGTAAAGACTGTCATTCGGTCAATAAAGTCTGATATTCCGGCTGTAAAGGCTGTCATTCAGTCAGTAAAAGCTATCTATCATTCAGACAGTAAAGGCTGTCATTCGGTCGGTCAGTAAAGACTGTCATTCGGACAGTGAAGGCTGTCATTCTGTCAGTAAAGGCTGTCATTCGGTCAGTAAAGGCTGTCATTCGGTCAGTAAAGACTGTCATTCGTCAGTAAAGGCTGTCATTCTGTCAGTAAAGGCTGTCATTCG